ATACCATCTCATGCCAGTTAGAATGTGTTCATTAAAAAAATCAGGAGACAACAGATAATGGAGAGGATGTGCAGAAACAGGTACACTTTTTCACTGTTGGTGGGAGTGTAAATTAGTTCCACCATTGTGGAAGACAGTGTGGCGATTCCTCAAGGATCTAGAACTAGAAATATAATTAGACCCAGCAATCCCATTACTGGATATATACCCAAAGAATAAATTACTCTATTATAAAGACACATGCACATACATATTTATTACAGCACTATTCCCAACAGCAAATACTTGGAACCAACCCAAATGCCCATCAATGATAGACTGGATAAAGAAAATTTGGCACAGATATACCATGGAATACTATGCAGCCATAAAAAAGGATGAGTTCATGTGCTTTGCAGGGACATGGATGAAGCTGGAAACCAACATTCTCAGCATACTGACACAAGAAAACAAAACCAAACAAACACTGTATGTTCTCACTCATAAGTAGGTGTTGGATGTTGAGAACATATGAACACAGAAAGGGGAACATCACACTCTGGGGCCTGTGGGGGGATTGGGGAGGGATAGCATTAGGAAAAATACCTAATGTAGATGGCGGGGGGAATGGATGCAGTAAACCACCATGGCATGTTTATACTTAAGTAACAAACCTGCATGTTCTGCACATATACCCCAGAACTTAAAGTATAATAAAAAAGAGATACTTCCAGAAAATAAACTAGAAATATATTTTTTGAAAATATATTCAAATATTCTATCAGGATTTCTCTCCACTACAATTGTAGACTACAATGCTTTGTCTAGCACAACATGATGGAAGTCTTTCTTAAACATCTTACATTCTCTTTGAAGAGTTGCTTTCATCATGGTATTACTCATAATAAATGTTAATTACTCATAATAAATGTTAATATCTATTTTGCCCCTATATTTGAATCACTTACATATGTTCTTTTATTCATTGTATCAGCAGAATCCTTTGATTTTATCACATGTTAGCACTTAATTGTCGAATGAGTGTTATGCTCTAACTAAATCATAGCCACAGGTTTTCATCTGTGGTTTATTTATATAGTAACAAAGTAAAAGTACCGAAAGGCACAGCCTTAATAATAAAATAACCTGTCTTTTTCCTATGAAGAAACATATAATTACATAAAATATGTATTTTTTGCTACATTGACTATCACAGAAAGGCAGGTTGATCATTTACTATACAGTATAGAAGGATATAAAGTCCTTATCTTTAGATAGTTTTAATATCAGATCAGTCATGGTACTGAGGTCTCTAAAATAATGGATGAAATGTACAATGAAATTGTATGTAAAATTCTGCATTGTTGAAGATTCAAAGTCATTTCAGACATAGTATTGCAAATAATTTCAAACTTAGTCTGGAAGCCAACATGAATTATCATTGTATGTAGAATACTGTAAGTGGTATAATGGCATATATAATATAGTAACAACATATATACCACAAGAGCACAGAAAAAAAAGAAAACTTTTTTTTTTTTTTGAGATGAAGGCTCACTCTTTTCACCCAGGGTGGAGTGCAGTGGCACGATCTTGGCTAACTGCAACCTCTGCCTCCTGGGTTCAAGCTATTCTGTTGCCTCAGCCTCCCAAGTAGCTGGGATTATAGACATGCACCAACACACCCAACTAATTTTGGTAATTTCAGTAGAGACAGGGTTTTGCCGTGTTGGCAGGCTCATCTCAAACTCCTGACCTCAGATGATCCAGCAGTCTTGTCCTCTCAAAGTGCTGGGATTACAGGCATAAGCCACCGCACCCAGCCAAAAACAATTTTTGTTTTCAAACTCAACTAAGATATTTTGTGACAGTCATGGGACAGATTTCAACAGGTGACAATAGGATAAATGAATTCTTGGTAGAGAGAAGACAGTGGACTGTGAATTAAGAGCTCAGGGATGTGATTCTGAGATCAAGGGAAGAGTTTCCGAACCAATGGATTATATGGTTTATAAGATGATATTGAAGAGACATATCAATTTTAGAATTTGGACAGTGAACAGCATCACTGCCTTGGCAGAAAAGAAAGATATGATCAAGTTCAATCATGCAGCACAAACCTAGGTAGGTACAGGAATTTTATGTTGGAAAGAATCAATATATAACAGCCCCTTTAATCTCACAACTTATACTTCCATCTCAAGCCAAGAACACAGTATTTTCTCTTTCTAAAGACTCCACATCAATGAATTTATCTATTAATAAAAATGACTTTTTTCATATGAGTGGAGCTACAGTTTGGATCTCAGAAACTTAGGGTATTAGGCATTGCCATATAGCCAAATAAAATCTAAAGCAGCCCCTAAATGGATGAGAGAGCCAAAGAACACCGTTATGGCTATGCTGAAGCAAACTACTCATCAGAAAGCCTGAGTACTTCAAAGTTTACTCCAGCTATGAGCCCTCCATACCTCATGCTTGAATTCTGTCACCTGCAAGCTTACCTGTATTAAATGGCTACTCACTGCAGTTATTCCCTCAAAGCTACATCAATTGAAACACAACCAATTCCCATGTTTATACACCATGAATATATATGTTTTAGATTCATCTAGAGGTGAGCCAGCTTGCAATACAGTGTGTGTGCAATCAAATTCTGTAGTTCAATTGCAAAAGCCAGAGATATGGCATGGTATAAGTAGGATCCTGCAAACCACCAGTGCTAAACAACGCTACTTACTTTCTGTGCTTAACAATGAATTCACCATTCACAAAATGTTACAGTCATCTGATCATCCCACTTGAGCCCTCTTCTCCACATGTCTGTTAGATTTTCATTATCTCCCTCTTTAATTATGTATGTCTTAAGGTTTCTTAGCCAAAACACCAGCTCCTAATATTTCTTCAAGGTGAACTCAACTCCAAATCTACAGACTTAAACCCCACAGTCTCAGAGGTTGCCCCTGTTACTTTTGGCACTTTCAAAGCTTGAGGATGTCATTCATCTGCAAGCATGCTAGCTCTTGAAAAGTTGTAAGGAAAACGCACTGAACTACACAAGCCCCCTTCCTCTCCTCCTCAATCGATATAAGGAATCATCTGTCATCCCCAGAGGAGAAATAAGAGAGCCCCAAGTCTGTAACACAAAACAAGAAGAAATGAGACCCAACATCCATACCCAAAAATGTATTTCCATGGGTTTTGTTGTTTACTTAGTTTTGTGCACATGTTGCTTTCACATCAGAAAAAACAAATCTTAAAAAATAGATTCATTTCTTTCTCTTTGCTTTCCTGCTACTTAACATAGAAGTAACTATAGGGTAATATATTTCCACATTTGACATCAATAAACACAAGCTGTAATCATGCTTTTTAACTTTGAATACTGCTGATAAATGCAGCCATTCATTTGTTTGTAATGTATTAGTTTATTGAGAAACCGTGTTATGTAGAAGGTGTAGGGGCAGGTTTAAACATAGTAGGAATTACTAACAATTTAAAATGATTCTATCTTTGAGAAGGATACAGTTTAGCAGGGAAAGTAAGATATGAGCATGGCTATAAGATGCCATATTACGTGATCAGCAGAATACGATATTTAAAATAATAAACTGCTATGGGAGAGTCAAGTAAGAAAACTTTTTCTATCTTGGAGCACCAGAGAAAGGTATATGGAGGAGAAAACAGATGAACTGGACCCTGATGGAGGGTGTGTTTGTAACCTAGACGGGAGAGATGTGTCCAAGGTGAAGAAAGAGCAGCATGTAATTCGTGCACTTTACAATTCTATAACTTATTCTATCAGGACGAACTAAAGACAGGCCCTATTTTCATAGATCTTATTGTAAGTAGAAGAAACCAACAATGAATGACTACAAATGTAACATAACATTACAAAGGGATTTTTACTATAGATAAAAGCATATCTGTTAAAGAGAGAAGAAAGATTAATATTATTTTAATAGAGTGTTTAGAAAAGTTATTTCCCAGGCAGTGATCTTTGAGAGAACTGGAGCAAGGTTTTTTTTTTTTTTTTTTGCATCCCAATTAACCTAAAATATATCCTTTTGGTATATGAATTCCTTTTCTGGCTTAATTGTAATATGGAATAAAATCTTATATTTCAGAAATTTAAATAGCATCAAAAAGGTAGAAATCCCCCTCTCATTCACATTTTACAGCCACCCAGTTAATATCTCACCCCATTCATTAAGCCTCTGAAGAAATGTATTTCAGTTTGAGGAAACAGTAAAAATGCTGTGAGGCTATAGTACTTTTGCTGTATTTGAGAAAATAGAGCAAGAACTGGAGCAAGAGGAAGAATTACTGGAAATTATGTTTGAGAGACAGGCCAGATCATATAGGTAGTGACTTTGTGCCACTGAAAAACATCAGAATCCAGTTGAAGTGTGGGGGGTAACATCAGAGAATTGTGAGCACTGCAGCAAGATGATTTGCATTTCCTAAAATTTCACTCTAGGAATATGTAAAACCAGCGATAGGAGGACAAGAATGGGCAGCCAGGAGGCCAGGTAAGGGACTATTACAGGAGTCCTAGCACAAAACAAATAGAACTTAGATGACGGAGGGCAAAGATGGAGAAAAGGGAATATTCTGTTATTCCTGTCAATTTAGGATGCCCTTTAGGCAATCATTAGCTGTATAACAATAGAAACAGGAAACAGCTAGAGAGAGCTGTTTCTTTGATCATTGAAATTCAAAATCCATTTTTTCTCTTTTCTGAAACATTCCCCATGCATGTCAGAACCATGTGATCACTGTCCCTCAAAGTTGTAAGTCCATGATTTAGAATAAAGCAGTTTCCAAGTTAGAAGATTTAGCAAAGTAGGTATTGAACATAGGTCATATGTTTCATGGAGACTTCAAATCTAATTATAGACAATGATTATTTATTGTTCACTGCACTGATTGGCTACTATATTAGCTTGTTTTTATACTGCTGATAAAGACATACTTGAGATTGGGTAATTAACAAAGAAAAAGATGTTTAATAGACTCACAGTTCCACATAGCTGGAGAGGCCTCACAATCATGGCAGAAGGCAAAAGGTACATCTTACATGGTGTCAGGCAAGCAGAAGCCAAAAGGCACATCTTACATGGTGGCTAGCAAGAGAATGAGAGAACCAAGTGAAAGGCATTTCTCCTTATAAAATCATCAGATCTCGTGCGAGTCTTTCACTACCAGAAGAACAGCATGGGGCAAACTGCCCCCATAATTTAATTATCTCCCACTGGGTCCTTCCCACAACACATGGGAATTATGGAACCTCAATTCAAGATGAGGTCTGAGGGAGGACACAGCCAAACCATATAAGCTACTTAGTATATCCTTTAGATTAAGAGTCCACACACTTTTATGAGTATTAAAAAATAGACCAAGAGTTTTTGTTTTTGTTTTTTTTTTTAAATTAATTGGCCCCTGTCAGTATTATCATCTCCATTGACATCCTTATTTCTTTGCATATTTTTTACACTGGGCGTGGTTAAGAAGTTAAATTGAGAGACTGTCAAAATCATTAATTTTCTGTCATGTTTAAATAACTGGTTGGCCCCATAAGCAGATTGTATGTTATTGCTTTTCAGATTGAGGCTTTCTGTCAGAATGTACCATCTCCCAAAGGAAAAGATAGCTGCAGAGCTTTGGGGCTATATTGTAGGAATGTAATTTTTTTGTTCAACAAAGCATGGCAGCTAAACCCTCGAATTATTTGTTGTGTGACTTCCTTATTAGACCATGTTGAAGAGGGATGTAGATTACTGGATGCTCTGAGGAATGCCGATTACTAAAATGAATTAAAATGCAATTTGTTTTTTCTCATAGATATTTTTAAATGCAAAGACAATCCGGCTGGGAAATCTACCAACCGGCTCCTTCCCATCTTCTTCACCCGGCTCCTCGAGTTCTCGACAGACAGTGTATGAACTCTGCATCTGTCCCAATGGCAAACTTTACCTTTCTCCAGCAGGAGTAGGTTCCACTTGTCAGTCCAGTAGCAACATCTGCTTGTGGAGCTGAAGTGACTGATTTCTCCTCACACCAGAATAGCCTTTTGTTCCTGTCCGTCTGCTTCACAGTTCTGCTCGGTTTCCCTTGTGATCAGTCCAGAGCTGCTTTGAATGGTCCACAGAGCAACTTCCAGTGTGAGCAGGGATTCTCCACCACTTTCCCTTGTGATTTACCGTACTGCTCAACACAGAGTGTGAGTGACACAGCAGTGGAAAAAGCGTCATCAGCAGGAAAACTGGATCATGACTTTTGCTCAAAAGGGAGAATAACATAGGTGCCTTTGCTACATGAAGTGAAGCACACAGTTTTAGATTTTTGCAGGACTTGGATATGAACTGCACATATATACATTACATAAATGAAATTCCCAGTATCCAATGGCAAGATGAAATGGTTAACCCTGTAAGAAAACTTATTCTACAGTCTGAAAGCACAATTTTCCATTCATCTTTTTGGATGTAAACTTTTATCCCCAACTTTTAGAATTTTGAAGCATTATGTAATGCTTGCTTTACTAAAAATTAAATTCAATACATGGTTTTTAACAAAACAAAACAATACAGAATCTCTCCCTGAGTTTTCATTTTGTTTCTTTAATTTCAGTGTGTTGTTACTCTTTGTCTACTAAGTCTACAATTTTGTACATTAGGTGATTTTGAAAGCACTCAGCAATATAATCTTTACAGAATTAACAAAATGCCATTTTAATGTCATTTGTCAAATCTAGATGGCTTTATGTAGTATTTACATGGCTACTGCATGTAATGTATTTGCTTTTAACATCTAACTGATTGCAATATAAGATAGGATTAAGAAGGACATGCTGATGGTATTAAATGCATAGATCATTTTTTAAAAATTCACATACTATCCTTTACACCTAGGTTTTAATAGCATAGTTTGTGTTTGCTCTATTCACTTTGCACTGATTCTGACTGCTAAAATTCAGACATCCTCCAAATAAATAATACTAATTTGATGCATAATGATGGGAATAAATTCACTTCCATTGGGATATCATCTTCAAAATTATTATCTATTTATTTTTTATTGTAGGTTAAGATTTAAAGAAGTTAACTTAAAGATTCTTGACTAAACAGTAAAAATGACAAATGCTAATAAACATATTGAAAATGTGTTTACTACATTAGATTCATACCCTCAGGAACTGAGTCACATTTCTATTCAGCTCTTAACATATATTTACTTTTATTAGATTGTTAAGCTACTGTGACATCAAAAATTATAGTTATTTTCATTCTCCACTGCTTACTTTTATATATGTCCTCTTAATAACTTTAGAATATTACAGATTCATTTATCACAATACCCCTTAACTCAGATTCTTGAAACTTATAGAATCAAGGAATGTAAAACTGTATTAAGTATTCCTATTATGGGAAGATGACTTAATTACTGTTACTGTAAAGTAAGTCCTGAATTTTCACATGGCAATTAACTTTTTGCTCCCCCATACACACTACCAACCAGCATGTTGAAACTACATTTTGGAAATGAATGGCTGTAGAGTCTTTGGATTTCAGGTCTCTACAGCTCAGAGTGAATTGGGATTTTAGAACTTGTTGAAAAACATGTAGTTAATGAAAGTAGAAGTACTGGCAAGGCAAGATGAAAAGCGATTAACATTTTACCAGAATGATCTTGTTTGTATGACCTAGCATATCAAATAACAAAAAGCCCATTTCCAGTGTACTCAGCAGAAGGGTTCAAAAGCTAATTTGTTATTTCAAAATAAAATTTGACTTGTGTTTGGATGTTGTTATATCTCTTTAAATCAATATTGAAATAATTATACAGTTGCTTACAAAGTTATCTCATAACACAAGAGTTTATATTAAAATTAAGAATTTAATACAAGAAATCTCACACTGGTCTTTGCAAAATAAAGTATAACAAGAAATGTTGAGAAATTATGTGTGCTAATCACTATATTATGGAATTTTAAGGAAACATTATGTAGTAATTTGAGGCATATTCAAGTTCTAATCATCCTTCTATTGAAACAATTAGAAACTTTCTGATTCAAATGGGAATAATTCTTTTGATTAGGAACTGGTCCTGTTTCTAATTTCAGCTGTCTTCTACATCAATTGAGCTGTTTTAGGCAGTTTGGAAATCTCTCCAGGCTTCAGTTTACCCAACTTTACAGCAAAAGTATTGAATAAATTGTGTCTTGAGGTTCCTTACTATTCCAACATGTTCTAATTTCAAGTACATATATTACAGAAGGCAAAAAAGAAAACTGAAAATTTAAATTATATGTCATAAGAGGAGAAAAGATGGAAAACTAGGAAAACAAGATGTAAAAACCAATTCCAGTCAGGGGGCCATCAAATTTTTAATTCAAATATATTCTGAAAAGTATAGACACAATTCAAAAGTAATTTACAAGCTTGAAAGATTTAGACTGTATCCATGTGATATAAAAATCTGTTTAATTTAGTAGAAAAAACAGTGATAGAGATGGCTTTCCCATTCAACACCAAATAATTGCTTTAAGTTATTTGACTAACTTTTCAGATTTCTGAATCTAAAAGAATAGCCCTGCCTCAGAGATCGAGCCTATAGTGAAGGCTTAGAAGAATGTCCCCAGAAGTCCTCGATTTTCACATTCAAAAGAAAAAAAAAAAAGGCTTAAAAAAAAAAATACAGTGGTCCCATAATAGCAGACTACCCAAACAGATTCATTATCTGTTTTCCCAGTACCATCTTTATGTTACAACATGTATAAATATAATGCAGTTTACTTATGATATAAATATTGGCTTCCCCAAATGACACTGAGAAAAATGAGTCCTTTACTGTGTACTACATCGACATGACTCAGCTATCTTATTACCCGTATCTGAATAACTTCATACTCAGTTCAGCAGAGGAAGGAAGAAAGGAGAGAAGAAAAAGAGGTTGGTAGTATTGCTAGCATTTAAGTTTTTTGCCAGGAATGCATAAACTGAGATTTATTTGAGTTTAGGTTTGGGGGATCGAAAGGAAAGATGCAAAGAGGACACATTATTCTTTTCTTTTTCAGAATATTTCAATAAAAAACTTCAAAAAAGAAACAGCAAGAACCACAAAAACTTCTACATTTCCTACTTCTTTTGTTCAACATTTCCAAAATTTCTATCCAGTACTTACTAGTCCTATATATATAATTTTTTTAATTGTAAATGGTATTCTTTATAATTTGGCACATAATTATTATCTAAGGGTTTAAGACACTTATGCACTTCAAATTTTACTGTAACTTGGGAATCCCTAGATCTACAGTACTTCAAATTTCAGAAAATGCAGCCACCAATTCCAGTTCTAGGTCTGCCCCTACCTAGTCATATGAACTTAGTTAAGACATATAATTTAATTATGTTAGTCACAGTTCATTTATCTGTGAGGGCGTATATCAAACTAGACATTTTCTTTGGTCACTTTGATTTTTAAATTTCTCTGATTTATTTAAGGAAGTACTCATAAATCTTAGGTTAAGTAGCCATCTGAACTAGCATTTGTAATCTCCTTCTGCACCTTAAAAAACTGCTTGTAAGTGTTGAAATATAACTCCTTTTAGCAACCTACTTCTTATGCTCATTTTTATATTCCCTTTTTTGTTCTTACCATTTGAACAGTAAAATTCCTTTGGAAAAATCATGCTTGGTTCAAAGGATTTAACAATATGGTTGATGTTAAAAAGAAAAATAATGCATTTGAGTTTCATTCAAAATGACTGTTTAGGCCATTAATAGAAATATTAACCAAATATAAACATCCTGTTGGTCTTTCTATTATTTCCTTAAAGCTATAAAGCATTAATCTTTTGAAGAAATGATAGTATGATCACAGAGATTGTTGAATTGCTTATGTTATTCCATTCAAAATTCCTACATATTCTGTCTGAATGACAACTAAAGAATGCCTCATTTTACAAAAAAATGGCATTTGATACAATAAAACTCCTAATATATCATTTCACTGCAAATGGTATCTATGTATGAGGCCCCAATAGCCTAGAGAGTGTCTAATGATTATGAGTGTTATATTTCACAGCAAATAATGTCAATATGCTGTTAAATTATGAAAATCATTGAAAGTATTTAGTGGCCAAATTTTCTATAAAACCATCAAAGCCAAATTCATATTTGAGTTTTATATGAATGAGATCTTGTCACCAAATTTTTCCAGTAGCTGTGGTCTAATAAGAATTGTTCATGTGATCATATTTAATGACATATGGAGAAATTATTTTCTCTATATGCTGGTATATATATTACAGTAATGAACAGTGCAAAATATTATCACAAAGTAAAGGAAAATTGCATTTGTATTCATTTTCAACAATCATAATCAATAACTTAATTGAACACTGTTATTCATGTTGTTTTATACTGCAATGCATTTGTTATTTAAATGTCAAAGACCAAAGACTAGGAGTTCTATTGTATTTAACTCTAAAACTCTGCTGCTCCTACTAATTTATTCAAATGAATGGGGGGGCTTATAATTATAACATGAGTCAGAAAACATTCTTCTTGGAGGATTCTGAGCTGTAGAAATTAATGAATGCTTTTGTTTCAGAAGGGAAACATCATTAGTGTGGTCTACATTTCTTTTATACATGCATAACAAACTCCTTGGTATTCATAAAACCAATATATAAAGACCATATTCCAAAATAGGCCCAGTATGGATTTACTTAGCCAAGTTTAAACTTTCACTGCTTGCTGAACATTATTTGGAGAATATAATTAATTTGAAATGCTCATAAAATCAGAGGGCTATTTTTTAAGTGTTAACAGATATGGGTCTGCTCTTTGAGAAAGCCAATGAAAAACATTAAAGGAAATGAGGTATAATGAACTGTGGTTCTTTTTTTGCTTTTCAGTCTTATTATCTGATTTGTTCGAATATTTATAAATAAAAGCCAAACAGGGTTAAAGATGGGCAAGGACATTCATTAACAATGGAGATATGTAATTTGGAGTTTGAGTGTCTTGTTATTTATACAATTCTTTAAATCAG